CTGGGTTGGGATGCAGCAAGAGGTTAAGATGTTTTAGTATCACCTACTTTCATATGAGTTGAGATTGCGTAGGATCTAATTTAGTCACAAACATTGAACTTATTACTATCAATACCTCTACTTCTGACGCAGAGCGCTCAGTGTTGCCAGGAGATGCCGAGATATCTGACCTCTGCCCTGTGATGAAATAGCGCATGCGGCTGATCTCTTCCGCCAGCTTGGCTTTAAGCTCCTGTAAAGAGATTTTTATCTCAAAAGATGGTATGTTTGTAGCTTATCATGTTTCCTTATTAATTTAACGCTACAAGAACAAACAAAAAACAGAATATGATTGCAATTATTTTAACAATCTATAAGGTGGTATAAACCTGGTTCTCTCGTCTGAGCTGCTCCAGCTCTCTCTCCTTGCGACTGAGCTCAGTCTCTCGGCCCCTGCTGCTCTGCTCGGTGCGGCTCAGCTGCAGGCACGTCTGGGAGTAGCGCTCTGACAGCACATCTAACTCACTGTGCAAGACATCCGCCTGGGGCCTGACACGCACAAACATACCAGTTATGGAGTAAATTATAATGCACCATCATGCAAGGGGTCGTGGTCAAGTGTAGAACATCTTAAGCCTGCAGCGAGAGCCTGTGAGATGAAGAACACTCTCAGTACCATAAAAGACTGACTGTGATATACTTACATGTGGCCTCTGTAGGAAGTATCCACGTGTGCAGCTCCGCCTGCCAACCTCCTGACCTTCTCCAGCTCTCTCTCCAGCTCCTCTCTGTGAGCTGCTCTCAGTGTCTCCATTGCTTTGATGAACAGTTAGTTAATTGGTTATTTAAACTGTCATAGCATTAAAAACAACACAAGACGTGATTTTAAAAGACATAAATGTAGTTTAAATCATAAAATCATAAAAAATACATGTTGCTTGTTGCAAGATTGTCCCTCCTGGGCCAAAGTTGCCTGATTATACTTCCTGTGTTACCTTTAGCAGCTGTCTGGCTCTCCTCCTGCAGCATCCTGTCTTTCTGTTCATCCATCTGCCTGATCTCCCTCGCATGTTTCTGCTGCAGCTCCTGCAGTGCTTTCCGATGGGCCACTTCCATGGCTTCTAATTTGGCCCTACAGGGGGCCCGGGGCCCGCACGGGCTGTCCACCTCAATCCCCATGGCTGCACGCTCCCTCTTAATGCTCTCCACTTCCTTTCGAAGAGAGAGGGCCTGTGAGATTTATAGAGAATGTTTGGAGGGAGGAAAGGGGAGATGTACATCACTTCTGAATATTCACAAAATTTCCTTGCATTGAAAACCCTTTGAACATCATACTAGTGTTTCTACTCGTGGAGTGACTGTAAGTTCTTTCTTACCTCCTTTTGAAGAGCTTCAGCTGTATTTGTTTGAACGGTTTTGGCTCCATTTATGGACGGAAGAGCCCCCTTTGAGTTTGATATATCAGTTTGTGATACAGTGACAGGCTGTTCGGCCTCTTCGGGGCTCGATTGATATGTCTGGGAGATAACGAGAGACTGCAATGCCTGTGGGGTGCTTGACTGATAAGCCTGCGCTCCAATGAGAGACTGCGCGCTCATGTCCCTAAATGACATTGTCTCGAATTCTGTCCACTTCATGTTGACCTCTGAGTCCATGGTCTCAATAACAGGCACAGGCACACTCCCCCTTTTCAGCTCCATGGAGTCCCACCTGCTGCCCATCTCACTGAAGGGGACCCCTTCCTCAAACCACTTGTTCCTCTCCTCCAATCGCTTCGCTTGCTCGCGGTCCCAGCCCTCCCCTTCCTCTCTCTGACTGGCCGGAGATAGGTCTGTGTCCAGATCCCCGTCCACAGTTTGGTGGTGGTGGTCGGCCCGATGGGAGTTTGCAGCTGTGATGGTGGAGATGGAAGTGGTATGTTCATAGCCAGAGTTCCCGCAGGTGAACCGAGCAGGGGGTTGGCATGACGACGGTCTCCGGGAGAGGGGGTTCTCTTTCTCGCTGCCGGTGTCTGATTGGCTGAGTTCAGAATGAGGGAAAAGCAGGAGGGTAGTGTTACACATCAGAGGAAAGATGATAGAGGGGGTTCACTACAGACAGACCACCCAATCACCTTGTCTGCATTTCTTCACAGTGCTCAGGAATTTTCAGGTCTATGGAAAGTCAGTTTTGTTGCATATTTTGTTGGAATAACATGACAAACATCAATCAATTGTAATTTGTACATTACTAATTATGATTAATTAACCATATATTATGACAAATCAAGTAATGACAGTAGCCAAGTAGCAGTAGTTTTTGTGATCAAAAGCTCCAGAATAGCTATTCAAAGGACCTTGAAGTCCTTAGTCAGCCAATGCTTCCAAGCTCAGGAATAAACCTCAAGAATTTAAATTCAGTTTAGACATATATGACATGGGTATTATTCCAGAAGCTATAAGACTGAACAGCCAAAGTTAACAGCGTATAGACTGGAAACTGCCTTTAATTATTGTGTTTTAAACTTTTATATGTTTATTTTTACTTTTGTTTTTGTGTGTAATTTGTCATTATTTTATATTTTAAGGTTTGCAAACCAGCTTCAAATTTTCCCCATAAGAAACAAACTGAACAGGTCATTTTATAGGCTTGGCTTCATTGAAATGTTGTTTTTAATATGTTATTTCTGGTTGTAGTATACAGTCTCCCAGCAGGAGCTGAATGTATCCAAGCACTGTACTTTACTGTACTGTACTTTACTTGAGAGCAAATTGTAGGTACTCATACTGTATACTTCAGTGTTTCTATTTCATGCCAGTTTATACTTCGACTCCATATAATAACAGAGGAATATTGTACTTTTTACTCCGCTACATTCATTTGACAGCTTTAGTTTTGTTTTTTAAGATTTTATATGCAAAACATATTGTGAACTTTTAAAATATAATGCTATATAATGTTATTAAACTACCCATCTTTATATAATATTCTTAAAATTAGCTTCAACTCAGCCAATTACAACAGTGAAATTATGCTAACATATTAAGGCAAAAATAATCAAATAATTTATCATTTAACATTTACAATGGCCATTTATGTGCACTGAATACTTTTAATTTGTATACTTTAGGTACATTTTCCGTACATTTTAGTTCTTTTACTCAAGTAAAGGATCTGAATACTTCCTGCACCACCGTCTCCCAGAATAAAGTCAGACTCACTGCGTGTTGTTCTGGATGGCCTGCTTTAGTAACTTCACCCAGTTCCGTCGTATTCTGGAGGTCATAGCAGAGAGAGTGAACACTGCTCTCTTTGTCTGGAGGAGATCAAAAGACAGAGCAAAGACACACACACACACACACACACACACACACACATAGACACGCACATACTGTTAAACAGGAAGCAACCAAACATGTAATTGATGTGGAAATGGGGGGAGGTGTGAGGTGTGTCTGAGGGTCCATTTGTTTGTCTGATGCTGTACAACACAATGAGCAAAACACAGTACAGTACAAGTACAGTAAATACATACTTGTATTTGGAGTCCAAAGTTCTTCTCTACATCACAGTCGCACACATTCACACAGGATGTCAGGTCGATCTCTCCGTCCAGATCATCTGACTGCACCACAACAAGAAGAGCTTATATTTAGTCAAATACATTTCTAACCCAAACACCAAAGAAGAATGAGTGAAACTGAAGATATTCACCATGTTATGGTGGCAAAACCTGCAACCCTTTCAATTTATTGTATGTAGATTGAAATGAATTGCTGCTTACAAATCAGAAACCACTTTCACGTTACATATCTGGTCCTACCTCCTCAGCCTCAGAGTCTCTGTAGTACCTCAGCGAAGTATCACTCAGAACAAACCAGAGTTTCCTCCACTGAGCAAAACACAGTAAACATTGACAAAATTAAATTAAATTGTTGTGTTTGTGTTAAATACATCTACTGACATTGTCATTACTATAGTATGTGGGATTCTTTATAGATAGTTCAAGGGTCAAGTCTTGATCTGTACTGTCTGTCAGGTTGCATGAGATTGTGGTTACAGCATAAAGATAGCTTAAAAAATAAATATATATATATGTATATTAGAAGAACGACTTCATAAACCATTTACCTTGCCTTGTTCATCTAGTCTGGACATCCATCCCTTCAAGTAACAGCATCTGCAATTAAAGTATTAAGAGGAAGCTCTTTGAGTGCATTTGGTAGTGGTTTCTGTCTCACACTTCACTGTGAAACTAGAGGAAACGGAAACTGTCAGAGGCAGACAACGTGTCTTTGTGAGATAACTACATAATTCGTGCAGAGAGAAGCATAAAATATGGGAAATATACTGCAGAACGAGAACGTAAAAACAGGAAGAGGTGTAATTTTTTCAAACCCTGACCGTCACAGTTAAACGGTGGAAAACAGGAGAAGAAAGAGGAACTGATGAAACATTATTAGACTGACTTAAAAGCAAGCAGGAGCTATTAAAGCTTATTAACACAAAATAACATGAAATACTTACCATCCATGCACCATATGGTCCAGTATGAGGAGGAGAGAAAGAAAGAGACATTGACAGTGAAGAAAATACATGGTGTGAATTGAAATGAGGAAGTCACAAATGTGAGATCCCACACATCAGCTGAAGTGTTGTATCAGGGTTTCTTAACTACTGCAAACTTTTGCATGGTTGCATGTGATTCACAGTAACATTTTGAATGTTTTATTTTGTGACATATTTTCATCCCTCAGCGTTTGTTGACTCAGTGATTTTAGGCATGACACTGCAGGGCTGATACTGCAGAATACATTGGCTTGAACCCTCCTAGAATCTATTAATAAAGATGATAAATCATATGCACATGCTGCCCTAAAACATAGAGTGCTAAGTAATGTCTTTTTCCTGCAAGGTGCTTCCGTGTGAGGGGCGCCTGGGGTAAAAGAGCTGAAATAAATATCAGGGAGCTACTTTAGAATGAATGTATGAATGACCCATTTTCCTCGAAACACTCATGTGATTTATACAGATGCAGAAAGTCATGGGGCCGTGCTCACCTGTGTCTGTGGGCGTTCAGGAGGAGCTCGCTCCTTCACCTTTGAAGATCTGTGTTTTCCACTTCGATCATCTGAAATCTATGATACAACACACAGACAGGATTACAAGCTCAGTTGTTTCAACATGGATTTTTATTGTAAACACGTCTGCAGTTATTGCATCGTACTTGTGTATGAACAGATGCGGATGACTGTCTCCGAGATGAACGTCCATTCTCAGAGTCCCGACATTTCTCTCGTCTGTCTCTGCCTCTCTCTCTGCCTCTCCCCCTCTCATCTGACTCAAGCCTTGAACTGTAGATGTCTATTTCATCTTGATACCTTTAGACACAAACATATATTTAAATCTTTGACGCAAACACACTATAGACACAACAAAAGCTTGAAGAGCACTCCTCTTTTATTTAGCCATAACTAAAGCAATTACTTACAGTCAGATCAAAAGCATCAAAGTAATTTTTCCCCTGAACTTCAAGCCACCAAAGGAGCACTTTACAGAAAAGCATACACTAGGAATGCATGCTCGTGGGACTTCTGTTACAGCTATCTGAGGTCAATGCTGTACCATGATACCATATGGTACCACCAACCTGTAAGTCCTCAGCTTCTGGTCCCTGCATGGGCTGGGACTCTGGTTCCTCCTCCTCAGCCCTGGAATCTCTTCCTCTGACTCCAGCTGGATCTTTGGAATATCAGCCAGGACAATGTAGTCGTCTATGGTCATCGTCACCTCAGATTCATAAAGATTTATCAATAGTTTACAAGATATGTGGCAGGGAAAGTTTTGTCTAACATAAAACATAACAAGACTAATAACAGTCTAGAGTCATGCTAGTCACTCTGTGAGGTTGTGCTTCGGCTTAATGGTGCTTTGAGCTAAATGCTAACATTAGCATGCTAACATGTTGACTGTATTAGTTCACCAACTTATTTTAGTGTGTTAGCATGCTAACATTTGCTAATGAGCACCAAACACAAAGTACAGCTATTGGGGATGTAATTTTTTTTAAATTTCATTCACAGAAGTATTGAACAAAATATAAATTTGATAGGGGAAAAGTCAAGGGATCACCAGAGCCAGTAGGTCTGTACTACATTTCATGGCACTCCATCCAATAGTTGTTAGTCCAGTAGACTAAAGTAGTTGACCGACTGTAAGACTGACAGACTGACATTATCACCCATAGAGCTACTCCGCTAGCTTGGCTGAAAATCGATAATACCTGAAATACATACCTCCTCTGCTTCTACTGCAGCCTTTTTAGGTTCAGAGATAAGTAAGGCCTCCATGCCTCGCCTCATGTTGCTCACACTTCTGCCACCGCAGACCACATTGTTCCCCTCATTGCCATTATCAGTCTCTGTGATTGCAACATGGGACAGTGAACCACCAAGCCCCTGAGAGTCTGCACCTCGTCTTGATGTGGAGGAACCACGAGAGGGTGGGAGGCTGAGTAAAGAGTGTGAGGACCCTTGCCAGGACTCTTGAGAAGGACTCAGTCTGCTATCTCTGGAGCAGGGCTCCCTTTGGGGGGTTGGGCTGTGTGTACTGTAGCCATTCCTGGGTGGTGATACTTCACGGCTGTTGTGAGAGCGAGTGTTGGCCGAGCTGTTGACAGCTGTTCTGATTCGAGGAGATGCTTGAGATCCCTCATATGACTTTTGCTTGATGGCCGAGGATCCACGGCGTGAGATAGACTCCAGATTCCTGTAGAGTTTCTCAGAGTCCAAGCTGTGTTTGTTTGAAGCTTGTGAACCACTCCTTGACTCTCGACTGCATCCCTTTTGAGCCTCATATTCACCGTTCTGTAAATGGTAAGAGTCCGTGTGCCTGTGAGAAGGGGTGGCTCTAGAGGGTGAGACCATCCGAGAGGCAATGGACCCTCTCCTTCGGGATGGACTGGACCTGCCAGATGTATGCCGAGAAGGACCATGTGATGGAAGCTGAGAGGAGCCATGAGAGGAGGCGTGAGACCGGGCCTGACTCCTGGAGAGGGAGCTCCTTCGCTGGGTTTCCACAGGAGATTCAGTTAACTTGTAGCGGTCAGGGCTCACAGAGCTGTGACGTGTTGGTGAATTCCTCTCTGAATCAGTTCCTCGCCTAAAGTTGGAGTGGTATGTGTATCTCTCTGGGGATTCACTTCTCCAAACTTCCAGCATGTACGTCTCTGGGTTCCTCCTCTGGGAGGGCACGCCAAGGTTGACATTCCTGTAGGGGACGCAGGCTTTGGGCTCAAGAACATAATTGCTAGGAAGAGGATGCCCCCTTTCATAGTAACGATGCTGTCGTTTGTTGGTTTCCTCCATCTGCCGCTCACCATCACCTTTTCTGTCTGGAGAGAAGTAGCCACTCTCTTGTTCTCTGTCTCCTCTGGACTCTGAAAATCATACAAGCTTGAGGTCATTGCATTGAATTGGTAGTCTGTAAGAGAGCAATAGCACAAGTCAAGATTTTCCTCTGTACATTTGAGGAACCAACATGTGTGCATCTGTGATTATACCTGATGCCCGGCGGGACCTGTCTCTGCCCCTCCTCTCATCCATCCAGGATCTTTCAGTGCCACGGTGAGGTGAAGGGTCCAACCGGGTCATATCTCTTTGGGCCACGCAGAGCCTCTCTGGACTGAGGGATCTGCTCCTCTCTGGACAGTCCCACTGATTTGGAGAGCTGAAGCAGGGTAGTACAATGTCACTGATATGTAGATGAGGAAGCTGTAGTGTGTTTACACTACTATTTGTTGCTGTGAATAGGGTTTATTGCAAAATATGTTATACTGGACTGTCAGTTGACCTTGTGACCAGGGAGAGGGCCAACAAATAATAATATAAGTTAGTTTAACTCACTTACGAACTAGTTAACTAATGAGTGCACGACAACAAATGGACAAATGGGTGAAAGTAGAATCACAGGCAAAGCTTCATTAGTGTGACTTGGTCCGCTTTTATGACTGCCTCAACAACAAAACTCTGACAGTAAACATAATACATCCCTTCAGAGATATAAATAATCTCACATCATCTCATTTTCTCATTTTATTTTATAGCAGCGCAAAGCAACATTTTCTGTACAAATACACCCAATCTGATTTTCCTTAATCAAAACTAGGACTGCGACAGAAAAAGAGCACAATTGAGATCCATTATATTTGCCCTGTTGGCCCAAATGAAATTTACAATTGAAACACAAACTGTCACATGAATGCCACTGAGTGAACAGTACTCACTAACGTTAGATAGTGCCTCTGTAATCCTTTGATATCCAGCATCACAAAGCAGCTTTAGTGGTAGACGTGTAATGTGTGCAGCTTGCAGACAAAACATTATAAAGCTTATGTATATTGAAAGAGAGAAACATTCACATGTTTATGTCTGCCAAAATGTGAATTTGCCTGTAATACAAGCTTTGTGCTGATTAATCCACTGTAACATGATATGGACATGATTTGAAGGAGAAGTTACAGTCAACAGCAAACAACTTAAAGGTCCAGTGTGTAACATTTAGGAGGTTTTCATTAGTGTATAATCACCTGAATATAGGAATCGTTGTGTTTTTGTTACCTTAGAATGAAGCGTTTCTATCTACAGACAGTGCGGGTCGCCTTCCATGGAGGCCGCCATGTTGAACTGCCATATTTCTACAGTAGCCCAGAAGGGACAAACCAAACAGTGGCTCCTTGCTTGGAAAGGGAGGGTGAAGCAAATTAGTTGTAATTTGCAACTACACCACTAGATGCCACTAAATCCTACACACTGGACCTTTAAAGCTACATACATTTTGTCCACTCGGGGGCAGCAGAACAAGCTAAAAACACAACACTGACACATTAACACCGTACGAAGTTGATATGACAAACAGTTGCTTTAGACACAGAGTAAGAGCAACAAGAGCAGCCTTAACTTTAATTTGGAGTTGAGTTTCTGTCCACTATTCACTCTCCTTTCAACTCTGTGTTTGGTCTCCACCAATTCCTGAGAGCTGGCTCTTAAGCTGATATATGCTGTGCTATGTTTACCGGCAAGTTGCTAACTGTTTGACGCTGGGCAGGTAACAACATCAGGTTTGACAGAGCTTTTTCGTGCAAAATGGCTGCCTGCTCTGGTTGAAAACAACGCTGTGAGAGTGAAGACAGCGAACCAACAGTTAAGTTGAGAAAAATACTAAAATACTCCGTAATGAGCATAGTCATATTCATTTTATCCACTGTTATTATTATTAGTGCAACTTTAAGCTTAATTTGTCTGTATAATCAAGCCAGGTTAGATCTTAAAATGCTAATGTAAAGCAGCTCATCCAGTGACATTTAGAAACAAACCCCACAGGCTTAGGTGTCTTTCTGTATCAGAGAGTGCTGTTTCATGGTATATATGTTCTCACTCCTCAGGCAGACTGTTCTTGGTAAAAAGTGGTTTCTAAAATCAGGATACAGGATACAGTCACCTGGATTGTATGTCAGTGTCACAGATATTAAGTTCCCACTCAGGACTCAGACTGTGGACCAGACTCCACTCATAGGTCCAACCCCCGCTGACCTCATCACTACTGGCACTTGTGGTCACCTCAGACGGGGGACGATTATCATCATCTGCATCCTAGTTTGTGGAGCACAGAAACACATTTTTAAGCATTTGGATGATTCATTGAAAGTCAAACTGACCTGTGACCTCTGAGTATTTCAAAGTTAAGAAATAAGACCAAATTTAAAGAGTCAGAATTGTCAGGTTGTTCATGGAGGCCATTTTTGTGGCAATATGTAAATTGAATGTGTATATAAATTAGTTATTTAGATCAGTCACCTGTTTTTAAAAAAAAAAACATGTTTTGGGTCTATAACATTTGATCATGTTTTATAATGTGCAGCAGCAAAATCACATTATGGCCCTGAACAAAGTTTAACACAGCAGCTACCTGATGATTGATGTCTTTTAACCCCTAATTTCAAAAGAATAAATAACACAAAATTACATAAACTTACCCTGCAGACACTAATAAATAATGAACCAACATCCCAAGTATAAACATTAAGACATATTTCACTTACTGTAAATGCTCGCTGTCCTGTTCAAATCTGCTGTCAAGGCTTTCAGCAGCTCTCCTCCTTCTGTTCCTTCGTTCTCTCCATTTGTTCTAGCTAAGCCAATACTTTTAGACTGCACAGGACGTAACTTAAGCTAGTCTCTGGTCATGCTCATCATTATTTCATTGCTCTAGTGCTTTTGCATTACCAGAACCGCCCACTCAACCTCTTTCTCATCTTTATCTTGATCCCTCCTTCGATTCCACCTCACATTTACAGACAGGCGACAAAACTTTTGCTAATTTCAGTTCTTGATCTTTTGACTTGATGCAGGTTTAAAGACTTTAAAGTGTCGTCTTTTGTTTTCAGATAAAAATAAAGTCTACATTGCAATAATAACTTGATGAAAAAATAACTTTCTTGACTTTATTCTACTGTGTAATTCAACTTAGGTGGGCCAATGCCAAGTGCGGGGACATGTTTGTATGTGTCATATGAGCATATCCAATTACAATCCATTCCCCAAGGAGTGTAATGAGCTTTCATTAATTAATGATATAGAATCAAATGCCACCTTGCTGGATTATCCTTCTCCCACCTCCACAGTAGTTTCACTTGGCGATTGTGTTATAGGTTGACATCATCACCTCAGTGTGCAACTTGTGGAACAGTTTTGTCATATTGAATGGTAGCAAGTCATTAAAAAGGACTTGACCCTGTTATTCACAATATCAATAGATTTTGACCTCGGTATGTAATGTGTCCATGTACCTGTATGCATTAATGTGTAACTGTGATCACTGGTCATATAAACCTTGACTGTGAGCAGAGCCTGTATTTATCAAACTGCTACGAGTGAAAATCTAGACTTGAATGATAAAAGCAAAGTCCATCACATTCCTATTTGCAAACTTACAAATAAACTTAAAACTGTTTATTTATCCCCCATCTTCCACATGGATACTCAGCTTGTCGGGATGTTTTTACTGAGCTTTAGCTTCTTTTAGCATTATATAAGTATGTAGCCATGTGCATATCTAAAGTAATGGGTACAAATGTTTGTTGTCCTGAGAAGAAAACCTTGGTCAGTTCAGAATTGACTCAGAAATAGTGTCTTACAATCTGATCAGAGCCCTGAATTTTAATAAGATGGTTTAATAAGTCCGTAGAGGAGGACCTGCTCAAGAGATAAAAACGGTTCATTCTAAGGTAACGAAAGCACAACGATTCTTATTTTAAATGGATTATCAACTAATGAAAACATACATATAAATATTATATTCCATTGCTGTCAATAGAGCCTCTTAAATGTTACATACTGGACCTTTAATGTGTGTGTATCTTCACTTGCAGTCAAAGAACAGGAATTTCATGCATTTGCATGTAATTTCCTAATATTACCTTTTATTTTTTATGCTTTATTTCTGTTTTTTATTTATTTATTTCTCTGTCTCTGAGTTATCACTGTTACTACCAAGCTGCCATTTCTTACTGGAATATGTGTCATGGTAACTAGGCAGAGATGTCATGGTGATATGTTGTAAAAAAAAAAAAAAAAAAAAAAAAGGAACTGTAAGGAGGAGAGTGGCACCATTTCACCTTTAAACAGTAATTATACCGCTTTCCATCAAGTTGTTTTATTTTTAAACACAGAAAATGTCCATATTTAAGCAACTGTGACATAGCTATGAGTTTTCTACCCCCCTGTTGCGCACTCATCCTTGAATAACCAGCATAGCAACAGTAACTAAGAAGGGTGGGTAAATTGTGTCATCACTTGAGAGAAGTTTGATAAATACATCATACAGGCCCAGACTGTTTAACTATTGAATGCTTCATGTCCATACCCACTGTTGTGAACCATCCTGTTGAGGAGGAGCTGCCGTAGTGTTGCAGCTGAGGTGCATATGATCCGGCCGCAGACAGGAGCTGCAGCGTGAGGGGTCAAAGGTGTTGGGCAGGAACTGACGGCAGTAGAAGTCCTCAGCAGGGGGCGCCATGTCGATCCTGCTGACTCAGCCCTGTCATCTGTGGTGTATTGCCTCGGTATTGTCAGCCACCTTAGCACTAAAATAGCATTTTGATTTATTTATTTTTCCCAGGAGGCTCTTGGGGGGCTCTACGCACGGCTCATTAGCATAATACGAATAACAACTCTCATCAAAACATTTGAATCTTATTAGTTCTGATTAGGCAGGCTCTAACAGATTAACGGTTAATTCTTTAGATGTTTATATTTGAATGTCATATAAGCAGAAAAAATAGCAATACCACTAATATGTATTCTTTAAAGTATATGAGTGATGTTTTTACTATAAATAGAAGCTTGGTTCACTAACAATGTAATATCTTCAGTTACTCAAATATCCTGTTGACTGAAACACACACCACTATTGATGGGATACCTTTACACCTCTGAGTGGAAAACTGTGACAGTGTATATTGTAACCATTACATAGAGGGAATCCTCCAGCATAAGGTTTCTATGGCAAGGTTCCCATAGAAATATCTAATGCTACATGACGCTTTACCTTATGAATGTGTTCCAAAGTCTTCCTTTTCACAGAGAAGAAACTGCTGTATGTTGTATTTCCAAGATCCTTCATTGAAAGCTCAGTTTCTTCACACCCGGATGGAAATGGTCTGGAGTGATCATGGAGGCTAAAGAGACTGAGGTCTTTTATCAGAAAACAATCATTCATTGGCCCAATGTGTCGGTGACTGTGTCCTATCAAATATCATCATCTTTAGAAAGTGAAACGTAGCACTGACTCCTCTTGACAGGTGTCTTATGGACGGTGGTGGGCTTGTGCACAGATGGTTGCTCTGACAGTGCAGCCACAAAGAGGACAGATAAAAGAACAGAGCAGGTATATGGGAAAGGGTTACAGCGTCTGAGAACGTGGATTAAAAAGTGAAATTAAATCATCTTAGAATAATGTTACAATACAGGATCTTAAAACAACCAGCAGACGTTGCATTCTCATGTCTGTATTAAATATGAATCTACAGCCAGGAGGGAATTGGCTCAGTTTAGCACAAAGACTGGAAACGGGGAAACAGCTAGCCTAGCTCTGTCCAAAAATACCCCAACCCAGCACTTTTAAAGCTCACTAATTAACATGTAGCCTACTATCTTTTGTGTTTAATCCGTACACAAACACAAACAGAGATGCCACTGGTCAGCAAGAAATAACTTTGGATAGAGCCAGACTAGATGTTTTTAGCTTCTTTCAGCCTTTACGTTAAGTTAATTCACTTCCTGACTCCAGCTCCAAGTGCACCGACATCAAGAGTATCATTCATCTAAAGGTCTTTACACACTCAGGGTGTTTTTAATTTGCATGTCAATAGATATCTTTTGAACTGAGGTTTGTGTCATCTGTACTTTCAAACAGAAACATACTATTACATTTATTATTACGCAGCAAGAAAACAACATATTTTTTTCTCTTTTTTTTCTTCTATTTCTCTCAGCTTAAAATAAAGGCATCACGTCACAACTATTGCAGACCTGTTGTTGTTTATGTTTCTCATCACCCTGTTAGTTTGTGTGACTATGGTGTTTTAACCTATTAATACATTCGTTCGGTGCTTTCTGTGGATTTAAATTTTTATTAACAATTTGTTCCAAATTCACAGCTGGTATGAATAGTTTTGATGCAACATACTCACAGATGAGTATGTTGCATTTTCATATATGAAGCTACAGCCAGCAGCTGGTTAGCTTAGCATAAAAACATGGGGAAATATCTAAAATGGCAAGGTGGCTTCAACTACCTCAACTACTTTACGTTGCTTTTACACTCACAATTTTTGATCAAGGCTTTTTATTAAGCAAAACCCAAGACCTTAAAAGTCAAAATATTGCCTCATTAAAGTCTGCAATACTATACACTCCCTTTGGCTTTAATACTGGATGTATTGTGGGGTTATAACAGTGGGCAACAAAAACAATAACTGTGTAATATCGTGGTCTAATTAAACATTTTTGGCAAGTAGACAGTGAGGAATTACATGGTTTAAACAGCCTGAAAGGTACTGAAGAGTAAATAAAAGGGCCAAACTATATGTAAAGGGGTTACATTTGTGTATTATATTAATAAAAAGAGTGAAATAAAAGGTCATATCAGCGTAATATGTTCACAGTAATGAGGTTATTCAATAGCTCCACTTTATTTCCTGTGACAAACTCATGTGAGCAATATGAGCAAGTAGTGTATGTCTCTGAAAAGTGTTGGCATCATTAGTTGAGTTAATTCCCATCGGGTGACAAAGTGCTGAGACTGTTTTTCAGGAGGGATTTCAGTGTTTGAACAAACCACAAGAGGGCCTTTTGTCTCAAAAGAGCCATCGATGTGTGTGTGTGTAAATGTACAGTACAGTACACAAACTGAGGACAAACATGCACATTCAAAGGCTCACATTCTCTGTTTTTGTCTCTCTCTTTCTTCACGTACTCTACACACACACACACCCACACACACACACACACACACACACACACACACACACACACACACACACTAACTTAACAAAAACAACATCATCAAACATCCACAGAGATGGTGTGTATTTATAAATGCCGCTTGTTTCAAAATGATTGGTGAGAATTTAAGGCTGAGGCCCAGTTTACTGTATATGTGTGTGTGTGTGTGTGTGTGTGTGTGTGTGTGTGTGTGTGTGTGTGTGTGTGTGTGTGTGTGTGTTTGCGTGTGTGTGTGAACTTGTATAACACGTCCAAAGTTTGTAATGATTAATTGCAGTTTTGTAAGCATAAATTTTGTCATGAACCTCCAAGACGCGGGAGTATAATTAAACATTTGGCAAGTAAAATGACAATTAAGGAGAGATATTTTGGTCTTCTGCTGTGTGTCACATGTAGCTACATTCAGCCTCTCAGGCAGCAGTTGCTATAATGGGAGAGTAGAGCCAGTATCCATGGAAATACAGTTGGAGAAGTTCAGCTCACACAACTCAAAAGAAACAGGAAGGAAAATGTTTTAATGACTGTATTAAAGACTTCATGTTTCATTGTAATAAAATATTGTCAGAGCTCCACCGCTTTACTGTTTTTTTGCTGATATGAAGATTACATTGGTGCAGATTGATTTTCAATAACTGACAGGCGCGGACATGAGGCCATCACACACTGACGTCATCAGGGGTACCTTCAAAACTAAGGTTGTGTCTGAAATCACATGAAATACAGACACTCAAAAGTAAGAATCAGGACTCTTATCAATCATTAGCATTTTGCATCATCACTGATCAGTACAGTGTCATGTGAATTTTCACATTTATAAAATGTGACGCATTGCATTGTGGGATTGTTAGTAGAAAGTAGTGTAAGCCTTCATTTCTCCTTTGTTCCAAGGTCAAGAAAATACCCTTAACTTGAACCTTGACTGCACTGCTCATCAGCACTTTATCATGGCCGCCATTCCAGTGGGTTGAATGCCTTTCATTGTAATTGTTGTGACTAATGTCTACTTGTATTTTATGTTTTTGTATTGTATCGAGGGTCAATAAAGATCTGAACTGAACTGAAGTGAATTGACGATTCATTGTTTTAAGTTTTGAGAGCACTATACAATGGATGGATTTACACACTCATAGAATTCAGTCACTCAACTAAATTGGTGTACAGTAAATATATAGTTCAGTGTAGTAAATAGGGAGAGACACATCTGACACTTGGTTACAGCTCAACTTCTGTAAGTTTACGTGTTTTCACTATGAAACTAAAACGGTCAAATTCTTACAACCTGGATTTCTTGGTCAGTTTAAAACTGCTCTTATCTGTATTTTTATATTAACAATGGATCAATGACCAGGTGTAATATGAAAGGTATCACTTGTAGAGATAAACCCACAGAGAATAATCACCCGACCTTGCAGTTCCTCTCAGCTCTACAGAGAGTTTTAGCGTCTTTCAGCTCACTGTTTTGGTTTTTACAGTTCACAATTTCATTGTTTGTTTCATTATTTTCATTACCCGCAGAAGCATGCAGCTGCTTTGACTACAAACCACTGATAAACCCACCGTACACAACCATGTATAAATAGATATTTGCCATAACAACTTTTTTAGGTCATACTTAAATATGTTGCTCATTCAACTTCCCCCCATGTGTACTAACATCTATTAATACAAGTTTGAGTCGAATTGGTGGTAATGGGCTACATTCTCAAAGAGGGCTTAACCCCTTCAGACCCTGTGTCCATTACAATGGACGTCACTTGACAGGGGCTTCTTTTTTACTTTTTGCAACATTTAACAGACAAAAAATAGGTATGATGTTGTCATATGATGTTGGTATTTTAAGAATTGTTTGGACCCGATGTCCATTGAAATGGACAAGAAAAATAACACTTAAAGGGTTTTGATTAAAAACATTTTTTTTATTGATTCTCATTTCTGGTTGCATTAAGGATGGGAAAAAGTCATTATTATATTTTTCACAACCTTGGAACATAAGGCGGGTCTGAAGGGGCTACGAGAAACAACCTTTTGACAAGACCTTTTATCCTGGTCTTCATTTAATCACTCTTTTCCAGGGAGTTTGGGGGCAACATTGTCTTTGAACAGAAAACGTTAATTTCACGTCCTTTAACGTGACCTCATAATGTTCTCATCCATTCAGAGCAATCATTGAACCAAAGGACGTCAGTAGACGACTGCTCATAGCATTACGCACACAGTGACTCCCAGGTACTATGAGTCGAAAATTGGAAAATATCAAAATTTCCTTTCCGATCCTTGTTGAAGTGACCTGTTGTACAGAATTCATTCAAACTATCTGGAAATGAGTGTTTAATTAGTGTTTGGTGAGTTAATTAAAAGGTTCTTCTTCTTTTAAAATTCCTCGTTACTTGGTCCACATTGCAGAGAGTCATGGACGTGTGAGGGCATGTGCTTTTAGTGTGTGGGTTTTACGTCAGAGTTACAAACATTATCACGTGTGATCGATTCCTTCTCCCTGCATCAATCTGGCTACTGGAATGGAAATAACATTCATAACTCAATAACTTAAAATACAAAGAAACAAGGCTCTGTAGAGTCTGTTGTAATAAGACCAATCACAGATGATTAATTAATTCACAATCAGCACCTCAGCATAGAGGGCAAACATTGATCCAGCACTCCTAACCTTGATCCTACCCCTCACCCAAGGCAAATATTGATCGTGACCAGTATTCCTGCTCAGAACAACCTTCTGAATTCAACAACTTTAACCATCTTTTCAAATCAACAAGCTCAAGCAATTTATAAATCTATATTTTATGTTTTATTTAAGGTGCTGAAGCGATTTGTCGTGTAAAATCCTGCTTCACACAAACAGCTTGTGCATTAAAATTTTACATGGGAAAAATATATTTTCTGTTGCCTCAATCTGTTTTATTTGTATATTGTTTATTATGTTGTGTTACAGGCATGCTTTGACTGGCATTATATACGTTTACCTGAGATTGTATCAAGAGCCAACGGTCTACCACATGAGACTGCTGCAGGGTTTTATTTCTCACATTTGATTATGAACGCTTTCCCTTTAAGCATTTGTAATATGCACAAATAACAAATAGTTGTTAGCATATGTGCAGACAGTTTTAAGTGTTTTTATCCATGTATTTGTTGACTATGAGGCGTCCACAACAGGTGTATACACACTTAATGTATGAATAACTTTTGCAGTATAACACAGCTGTTATCATATTTAATTATATATGATTATAAACATTAACAAATCCTTGTATTGTGTCATTAATCACAAATTCTACTAGATTTATCCTGGAGATTTGAGTTGTAAATTTAGATATTTATTTTTTATATTTTGTATGATTACTTCTGTGTTATAATTTATTGTCACTAATCGGTTATCTGTTTTGAATTATTCACAAGAGGAGATGTAGTTGTTGACAAATATATTAATAAACACTTACAAATGTCCTTAAACCAGCTGTGTAAACACATTTATATACTGCTTACAAACATGAAATAGCGAGGATAAAATTAAATGTTATTGCATATGTATATATATATATTATATATATATATATATATATATATATAGAAGCACAAAGAATGTAGGTGTAACTATTTAAATCATTGTACAGAAACACAGTGTGCAGAGTTGGTAAATGTAAGCACAAATATCAACTTCAGTCTGGTAATTTCTGTTGGGAATAATAGTTTGTTATGTAAGTCTGTCCAGAGAGATATTAAGGAAAAAGCTTACAACACTTATTCAGACAAAAAGTGCCCCAAAAAAAACCTGCCAAAAAAACGAGTGCAGGTTCTTGGAGTTGATTTGTTTTAGTGTCATAAAATGTTCAATAAGTCTGTGTTTAGGAGAAGGTTGGTAAACAAAATACACAAAACAAGAAAGTGCACGTGGTGTTTTTAGTATACAGTGCAACACTGTATATACTTCTTATTTAGAGTAAATTTATTCAACCACTGGGAGTGATTGCCCCTCACGCCCTCCTCCCGCCCCCCTCGGCCTACTTTTCTAAAAACATGTTGACCTGAATCGGCTCTCAGAGTGAGAAATGAGGCGTCCGCCTGCATCTGAGTAAATTGGCTCTCATGGCATTCGAGGGGGAGTCATGAAGCAGGGCCACAGAGACGGTCGGCACTACAGAAAATAGCTCCATCATCTGCTTATCAAATTTAAATAGGACTGAAGGGAAGAGTTATTATAATGGTGTTGAGGGCTTTTGGTGATGATTTCTGTCATTGACCTCCTCAATGAGGTTTGCTCTGACGAAAACCGTGTGCGCGTGCAGGTGTGCTTTTTAATGCTTTTCTATGTGTGATAAGGACAAGTGATGGATAGTCCTGATGGAGACAGAAATACTGAAGTGCCTCCAGCAAAATATGCCACTAAAATGCATTAATATCTCACTGCCACCTAGATCAGAGCTATTTCTACACACAGATGGCCGTGTTGGCAGCGAGGACGGTCTTTCCTTCACCTTGCTTCGTGTCCCGCTGCATGACTTAACACTCTCTAATTAGAGGTTTTTCTATTAGGCACACATGTCTTTGACATTTATGGTGTGAATGCAACACAGGCTTCAACAGCACACATACATTATTTATATGTTATTGTACTATCTTTATGTGCAACCCACATTAATTTCAGAAGTGTAAGTGCCACCTCGTATTTGATTGTTAAACTTTGTGTGCAAGAACCAAACTGCTACCTTTACTGGCCAGCACAACAGTCACAACTTCTCTTTCATTCACACTTGTTATATGGAGGACATTATGTTCCTTCGACTGTGTGTTATCCTCAGCCCACTCACTCCCTCTCTGTGCCCACTTAGTTAATCCCCTAACCTCTGACCTGTGCCCACACTTGCTCAGTCCTATATTAATGTACCCAAACCTCCCTCCTACGCAATGCAACACCCACCTGTTGTCTCATAAAACCAAAAAGAAAGGAATTTTAAAAATAAATCATGTGGAGAGAGAGAGAGAGAGAGAGAGAGAGAGAGAGAGAGAGAGAGAGAGAGAGCGCGTGTGCATGTGTATTTATGTGCGAGAGAAAGAACAGAAAGAAAGGAAAAAATAAG